CCCATGAGTGTCTATACTCAGACAAACTCTGGGAATCAAATAATATGTGATGAAAGTGCAGCTGCCAATAGCTGCATAACCCAAGGATGCAGCTTTGGACAGACCTTTTTTCCAGTTAATTTGCAGAATTTTTTTGTTCTGCTTCCTAAGAGAGCTAGTTCTTTAAAACAGGGTGGCAGAGAAGACTTTTAGAGTACTGAAATTGAACTTCCAATAACTGTGCCTCTGAAACATGAGATTTCATTTTGACAAAAGTTCTAAGAAAGAATTCAGCCAACTGGCAATACACCAGTGGGATATTTATTTCCCATGACTTGAATGCAGTCGGCTGTGAGAAAATTCCTCCTGTCACAAGGGGAAGTGTCAGTCAACATTTCAAGGCAATTAGCAAATTGGAAGACTTCCACCGCTCTGCTGCTAATTCCTTTAGAAAATGAATGAAGAATATCAGATGAAAATGCTGTAATCAATTAAATTTGCTTCTGCAGTATCAAAGTTCTCATATAGATGAAGAGAAGTCAGATGGTCATCACTTCATGAAATTGATTCTTAATCTCAGATTTTTTTTCTTGGGATAGAGGCAAATGCAGATAAGTCTAACTTTGGATCAATAAAAACGATTTACCCTGTCCTCTAAAGTTTGACTTGATGAGTCTCCACTGTATTTTAATGAGACACCCTACATAGAGAAAGCTTTTGTCGTATGTAGGCATATCCTCAAATCCTCAGAGGTCTGCACTTTCTTATATTTCTTCTTTTTTTTTCATTTGCATACCAGTTACCAGAGCCTATGTACTTTGGGTGTCCAGAAAGTAATGAGAATCATTTTCTAGAATCACAAGTCCTGTATTAATAAAGAAGACAACTACGAGGGTTGTTAGGAAAATAATGGGACAGCCTTGGGAGACAACTAGCCTCTGCACATTCAGACTTGCCGCAGCCTCCGTTGACAGACTGCTCTTTGGAAAATGTGTAGACATTTTGGTGCCCATGGCTTGCCTCAGTCTCGGTGCAGCAGCGGTTGTGTGCAGATGTTAAATCTGTGCCTGTCATGGGTTTGAAACTCGAACAGCAGACTACAATCAAATTTTGCGTGCAGCTGGGAAAAAGTCACAGAGACACATGAAATGATTGCAATAGTCAATAAGTAGTCTTCCCTTTCACACACAAGGGTTTTGTGTTGTATGAGACGTTTCAGAGCGGAATTGAAAGCATCGAGGATGAACCTTGCTCAAGGAGACCGCCCAACTCCAACTCTGATCAAAACAGGCTAAGTAGAGAGTGGTGTATGATCATTGTGTACCAAAAGGACAAGCTGTGATCTGTGCATACTATGCAGCTGTATTCAAGGACCCTCTGAAGCTAAAAATCAAGGAGAAGAGGCCAGAATNGTGTAGCTGCCAATAGCTGCATAACCCAAGGATGCAGCTTTGGACAGACCTTTTTTCCAGTTAATTTGCAGAATCTTTTTTGTTCTGCTTCCTAAGAGAGCTAGTTCTTTAAAACAGGGTGGCAGAGAAGACTTTTAGAGTACTGAAATTGAACTTCCAATAACTGTGCCTCTGAAACATGAGATTTCATTTTGACAAAAGTTCTAAGAAAGAATTCAGCCAACTGGCAATACACCAGTGGGATATTTATTTCCCATGACTTGAATGCAGTCAGCTGTGAGAAAATTCCTCCTGTCACAAGGGGAAGTGTCAGTCAACATTTCAAGGCAATTAGCAAATTGGAAGACTTCCACTGCTCTGCTGCTAATTCCTTTAGAAAATGAATGAAGAACATCAGATGAAAATCCTGTAATCAATTAAATTTGCTTCTGCAGTATCAAAGTTCTCATATAGATGAAGATAAGTCAGATGGTCATCACTTATTGAAATTGATTCTTAATCTCAGATTTTTTTTCTTGGGATAGAGGCAAATGCAGATAAGTCTAACTTTGGATCAATAAAAACGATTTACCCTGTTCTCTAAAGTTTGACTTGATGAGTTTCCACTGTATTTTAATGAGACACCCTACATAGAGAAAGCTTTTGTCGTATGTAGGCATATCCTCAAATCCTCACTCAGAGGTCTGCACTTTCTTATATTTCTTCTTTTTTTTTCATTTGCATACCAGTTACCAGAGCCTATGTACTTTGGGTGTCCAGAAAGTAATGAGAATCATTTTCTAGAATCACAAGTCTTGTATTAATAAAGAAGACAACTACGAAGGTTGTTAGGAAAATAACGGGACAGCCTTGGGAGACAACTAGCCTCTGCACATTCGGACTTGCCACAGCCTCCGTTGACAGACTGCTCTTTGGAAAATGTGTAGACATTTTGGTGCCCATGGCTTGCCTCAGTCTCGGTGCAGCAGTGGTTGTGTGCAGATGTTAAATCTGTGCCTGTCATGGGTTTGAAACTCGAACAGCAGACTACAATCAAATTTTGCTTGCAGCTGGGAAAAAGTCACAGAGACACATGAAATGATTGCAATAGCCAATAAGTAGTCTTCCCTTTCACACACAAGGGTTTTGTGTTGTATGAGATGTTTCAGAGCGGAATTGAAAGCATCGAGGATGAACCTTGCTCAAGGAGACCGCCCAACTCCAACTCTGATCAAAACAGGCTAAGTAGAGAGTGGTGTATGATCATTGTGTACCAAAAGGACAAGCTGTGATCTGTGCATACTATGCAGCTGTATTCAAGGACCCTCTGAAGCTAAAAATCAAGGAGAAGAGGCCAGAATATGCACGCTCAAGATGGATTCCTAGGATCTTCAAAATTTAGCACAATGCGCCTGCTCATCGCTCCTAAGTTTCTCAAGAAGCTATGAAGATTTTTTGTGATTGAATTGATGAGCCACCAACCCTATTCTTCGGACCTGGCTCCATGGGACTTTTTTCTGTTTCCTGAAGCCAAGAATGAGCTTCATGGTTGTCATTTTCAGTCTGATGCCGAACTGAACAACACTTTGATAGGTGCATTTAACCATATGTCAAGAAAGGCTTCAGAGCAATGTTCCAGAAGTGGACTGAACAATGAGACCACTGCATAGAGGTAGAGAGGGACTACTTTGAGGGGTAATAATTGTAACAGGCACGGGGTGCAGTGGGTTGGATTTATGAAAATATCAACTATTAATTAAGTTAAAATAAAAACTTTACCTCAACATGCCCCGATTCCACTACAATGAATTCCCTTCCAGGAAATCAGGTCCGTGCCAATTCTAATTCGAGTGGGAGTAACTAAGGCATAATTCAAGAAAACAAAAAAAAATGTATTTCCAAAAAGAAAAACTAATAATAAAAAAAAGACAAAAGAAATGTTAGCCAAACAACCGGTCCAACCCCTTTACAGTACTTTCAATGACAAAGGGCTGATCTTCACTTCCAGATAAAACCTTGCAAGTTCTGGGGAAAAATCATGACCATCGAAGCGAAAAGATCCTCTAACAATAACGTTATTCCTCTGTATGCTTTTTAGAGAGAAAGGCGGCCAGTTTCAAATCACCCACAATCTAAAAGGGCACGAGTACCTCGGTCAAATCAATACTAACTCGAGTTCTTCGAGTTTGAGCTCTTCAGTCACCTCGGAGTGAGGGATTGAGGGAGGGATCTTCAGCTGAAATCTTGCTGGATTGGAGGATAGGTTTTGGCGATTAGACTTGATTGGAGGGACTTTGATACCCATTCACATAATGATGTTATGGCTCCTTGTACAGTGTTTGGGTAGCACATTCGAGAAGGAAAGATCCTGCATTTAAACTGTAAGGAGCCCTTCCACAGGTTGGTTGACCCCAAACACTGGGTTCACCTCCCTCCACGTGTTGATGGATGTTTTAGTTCACCTCCTTCAGCTTCCTCCCTGCCTTGACTCTCTACTGATACACTGGACGTTGCATGGTCATAGGCTGGCATACGTTACATAATGCTAAGTTCATGGTATGGCTATCACTTTCACTACAGTGAGATCAGTCCCATTTTCCGAACAACCCTCATATGTTATGAAGTTCCATAATCTCTGCCTGCTTCGATGACAGCTTGGCAGTGGTCAACAAGCTTCTACACTTTATCATGGAGTGCACGAAGTAACTCCAGGAACCGGGTGACGTTGTACTGGAGAACTTGAAGCTCCATCAACGATTTCGACACGAGGAACTTCAGTCGGAACTCGGTTAACTTCTCTACGGTTAGTGTCTCCAACTTCAGCCCACCTGTAGGGGCTCTGAAAGACAGTTGTGATGTTTGTCTGCCAGAAAGTCCTTGACTTGATCAAGGCCATATCTAGGATTTCATTTCAGGGGGGGTTGAGGTCTGGTGTACATGCTGTGGCTATTTTTTTTTTATACTTGTCATTGTAAGTCTTTGTGACATATCTGGATTTTCCTGTAAGTTGCAGTGTTTAATAAAACATAAGCTATTAAAGATAGAAAAGACCAAGTACTGCACTGTTTACACCAATGAATAGCAGTATGGCAAAAATTTAAGGAAGATATTTTGGGGGGGGGGGATGGGTTTGAACCCCATGACCCCCCCCCCCCTAAATACGGCCTTGGACTTGATGTGAGGTGTGGGGTTGTGCATTGTCCCATTGCCAGTGTGGGTCAGACAAATGAATGGGCTTGCAGTGGAGACAGTGCCAGAGGTTCTCAGTGTGTCTGACAAACTCATTGATGCTGTCCTCATAAATAGATTCACGTGGAGCTGTTGCTGTAATTGAAAAAGACTTGTTTGGTGTGATGGCTACCAACAGCATTGTCTTCTTGTTGACAAGAGAGTGCCACTCCACCTGAGATGTGGTTCACCTTTGGTCAGCCAGCACCTTTTGATTTGCTTGTGTGCCTGCCCTTTCAGATAGACCCACATCATATCTTCCACTGCCAGCTTCTTGCGAAAACCTCCATGCCTTCATGGAAAAAAATGCCTCAGATATGCTTTGCACAGTTGATATGAGCTGCTTTGTTGTTATGTCAGTTGATGCATTACCCAAACTGATGCCACATTGTGCAGTTGCAGACCTTGTATGAGCACCTCATGGATAGTGCTCTTGCCAACGTTGAGCCACTCAGCCAGCTCTCAAGTAGTCACTTAGCAGTCCTTATCCTCCAGCTCTTGTGCTGTCTCAACAAGCTCTGGTGTCCGGGTGGACCTTGGATGGCTACTGAGGGGCAGGTCGAGAAAGGAAGGCTCCTCCTCCTTTTTAACTGCTTCTTTAAAGATGCTGAACCACCAGAAGATGATAGATTTGCCAGGAGTGTCATTGCCATGCACAGTGACCAGTTCCATGTGACAGGCAGCCGCTGCAATGCCAAGTTTGAACCATATGAACATGTAGAAGCAGAAGTTCTCTGTGCTCATAGCCATAGCCAAATTGTTGGAAACAGCCTGCGTTGCACTGAGCTTATAGAGCTGTCTTTTGAGGTCTGCTCTGTAAGCACTTCTCAAGAGATTGACTTGAAAAGTAGCTATCACAGAGATTGAATATTGATCTAAATGCCTGAGCAGTGAGAAGTGTACCACTTGTAGAATTACAAATTTACCCCTGATTCTCATTACTTTCCAGACATTTCATGTATATATTGTTTGCTAATCACAGATGCATGGATACAGTGTCAAATGGCTTTCTTTCAGGAAAAGTGAATTGTTCTGGAAGCAGCTTCAGATGCCAAGAGAATGGGATGTGCATTCCATTACAATGGAAGTGCGATGGATTTATTGATTGTCCTGGTAGGTATCTAATTATTTGAAAGGTCTTCTGTTGGTAGTTTACTAGGGTATGAATTTTGTCTCACTTTCCATTGGTTTTTACAGATGAGAGTGATGAAAGAGGATGTCATCCTCCTCCTCTGAATGAGACATGCAAATATCCAGAAATGCTCTGTAGTGATGGCAGCAAATGCATAAATCTCAAGAAAGCCTGTGATGGAACAGCTGATTGCTTGGATGCTTCTGATGAAGGAAAGGGCTGTGGTGAGTTTTTCCATGAATAAGTGGTATTCAGGTTCTCTGCAGACAGTTTGATGCATAGGGGTGGCTGTGGTAATAAGAGATGAGGAAATGTAGGTTTCACTTTGAGCTGACAATGAAAGCAATTTGTCCTAATTGTATGATTTTATGAAAATTTCAATGAAATTGGTCTGGAGACTCTGAGTGAGAGCTTTTTTTCCAAGCAAAGGTAAAATAGCACATGTATCAGTATGTAAACCCTGGCTACTTCCCTCATACACAATGGGACTTGCTTTCCTGCTGTTTAGCTGAGTAGGCAGATGCAAGCCTTCATTAATCTGACTTTTCATGTGAGGAAATAGAAGCTGTTACACTAGCTCAAGAAGGACCAGTTTCATTGATGTTTTCTGAATGCTTTTAATCCTTTTGGATGCAACATCTTGAAAATTTTTCTTGATATCCGATATCCTTCATGGTTCTTTGCAAGGATATAGAGTTTGGGACTTTTTGGGGGGGCACTTGATGTCACATCCAACATGTTCAGATGGTTTTCCATAAGTTTTAAATGAAATGGTCTTATACAGGGTATGGCAGGAAAAAAGACCATGACTTTCAACCTAAATATCTCTGCCCACAATGGAACCATTTTTGCTAAACTTTCATTCTACATACAGGGTTGTGCAAAAGTTCTTGTTTACTTTCTACTCTTTCTCTTACACTTTGTTCTTTCTTTCTTTCTTTTTTATAAAGTTAAAGTTTTGATAAAACCATAACCTCAGCTTGTTAGTTGAATAATTATCTACATAGAACAGCATGAAAAAAAGATAAATGAATCAAATTCTAAGCGTGTGCTCAAAATTGGCGCTGTTCTCCTTGATGCACACTCGGAGTTGCTTTGGGAAGTTGTGAATGATGGTTGCCAGCTGTTCGACATTGATTTCATTTCAAGCACGTCGCAAAGCCACCTTCAGCATCTTGGTGTTGTGAAAAACAGATTCCCAAGGATCTTTTGCTCCAAGATTGACCAGACCATCAAGTTCAGATCTGGCAATCACTCCAGTCTTCATCCCTTGCCTGTGCATTGTGATGATAGCACTTCGATTCTCTTTAGGCGTCATAGCTCCAGAGGAAAAAAATCAAATAAAGACTGAAATTTACTATAATGAAAACATTTTATATCAAAAAAGTCCATAGAATTAAAAATAAACACATCAGAACTGCCAAAAATCCATTGTTTAGTGAAAAAAATTAGATTTTCAAAGTGTATGGAAACTTTTGCACAATCCTGTATATAAGTGTTTCCAACTGATTCTTAAAATATCATCAGAATTTGTTGAATTGAAGTGATATCAGCAATTATTGAAAAGAAGTTAGACATTGAGAATGGACAAGAGCTCCTTGTAGTGGTGGAGTGGAGGAAACACTTGTGCACTGTCCCTCCTGGTCATCAAGACCACATCAGACTTCTCTTTCATTGAAATTCATTCTTTGCTCTCTTTTTGCTGATGGTTTTCATTCAGATGAATAAATGAGTATCAATACCCAGAGACTTTTCACATATTCCATTCCAAATTTCCCTTGGTTTACATCAGGGGTCAGGAACCTTTTTGACCATGTGAGCCATATTAAGATGGAGCTATGTGCTTGTGAGTGAAAGATTTTCAGAACAAAAGAATTTTTCCTGAAGTTGGCAACATACATATGCATTCTTTGAAACATGAGGAAAATGGGGAACAACCATGATTTTTAGCAATGGCTTGCCAAACTTTTCAGCCCATGAGCCATAGGTTCCCAACCCCTGGTTTTACATCAACTTTAGTCTGCAAGGTATGACAAAAAAGACCCACTACTTCAAGTGTAACTTCTAATTGCTTAAGTCATATCTCAGAAAATGTACTGTGGATGAATTCATTTATTTGAAAGTCATCAAGGCTGCCAAAACCCATTGCTACAAATCAAAGTTATTAATGATATTCTATGACAATTCTTGCATTTGAAGTGGACAGTTCTTTTAAACAATCAAGGGGAATTTTGATTAACATTGAGTGTCAATCCAGAGAAAAACTCTCAGGATTGATACTCATCATTGATTCATCTGCTGTTCAGATGAATCAATGATGAGTAATGATGAGCAGATTCATCTGTTATTCTGCATATTGGGAATAAGCTAATAAACCATCTGCAACTGGCAACCAGCCCAATGAAAGAATTTAAATGTGAGAAGAGTTTGACATGGTCTTGATAGCCAGGAGGGACAGCTCTAGAGTATGTCCTCCACTCCCCTACCAGATGGAACTCCTGTCCAATCTCAATATCTAACTTCTTTTCAATATTTGCTGATGGCATCACTTCAGCTCTACAAATTCAGATGAAATTTTGAGAATCAGTTTAAAGCATGCTCATATATGCATAGTGAATGTTTTGTGAAAATAGCTCCACTGGGAACTGAGATATTAAGATTAAAAGTCATTGGTCTTCTTTTTTTTTTTCCATACCCAATATATGTCTCTCTGTGATTGCCTGCTCAGCTGCACTGGTGTTGGGTCCAAAAGTCCCATTTTGCCCAGAGTGAGCATTCAGGGTTTGCACATTTACACTACTGCTATTTTGATATGCAAAAAGTCTTGTTCAGATTCTTAGGAATCAATTTCATTGAAGCGCTTTTGGTGAAATCACTTACACATGATAGATGTGACATTCTGTTAATTTCCAACAGATATCTTATAAGGGATTTGGTCTGCAGGCATACAGTAGGAACTTTTTTTGGCTCCCTCAGTAAGAAGGATTTCCAGAAAGTTAGGCATCACAGAGAATTTCAAATTCATTACAGGGTAAGCCAAAAAAAAAGAGAACAGTTTTCATCAATACACTACACTTCATGCACTGCACATATTTTAATGCAGTTTGCGGCATTTAAAAGAGGAATGAATAAGCTTTAAAATTATTTGTTTACCTTTCAAATATCCTCAGCAGTTTCAGAAATTTTGGAGCTCATATTAACGGTAAACAAAAATTGTGTTTCTGCATTCTCAGAGGGAGATGGCTTGTGACCTTCAGTCATGAAGACTGCCACTTGTCCATCCCTGTCTTGTCCTGCAGCAACATAATTTTTGCTTCATGTTCATATGTGCTCCCTAATTTCTGAAACTGTTGAATATATTTGAAATGTAAATACACTATTGTAAAGCATATTTATTCCTCTTTCAAATGCAGCAAACTGCATTCAAATATATGTTGTGAGTGCAGTATAGTGTACCATTGAAAACTGTCCTTTTTTTTGGCCCACCCTGTATATGTTCAAAATGGGCACCTCGTAGCTAAGCCAAGACCTGCTTTGTCATACATCACAGCATGGACATTTGTAAATGTTCATAGAGAGATTTCTCACTGGACTGCAGAAATCTACAGTTATCTGCAGTTAATGGCCCAAAATACTGTGCTATTAAAATATCCCAGTATGAAAAATAAATCCAAGACAGATGAAGAGACTGTTCTCTGTTGTACCGCTAAAGCTGGAAATTAAAGGAAATAAAACAAATTTGGCTACTGTGATGCAAGAATTTCCAAACCCCTTGTGTACTTTGGATATCTATGTGACTGCTTAATTATTACTTTGGAGTTGCTTTGGCTATAAAGTAATTTTCAATATCTTATTATCACATGTGGCTTTGTATCTTAATGCACCCATTGGAGCAATTATCAATAGAAACATGTTGCAGAATTTTTAATGTATAACTGCTAAATGTTTTGGGGTAATGGGAGTTAGCTGCTAGTAACATGGAAATCCTATGAAAATTCAAATCCCCTGATAAAGTCACAAGAAATGCAGTGACACAATGTGGGTGATATTTAACAGGAAAAGTAGTCTAAATTTGAGCCAGAGGTCCAATTACATTCTTGTTGTAGACCGTATCAACTGTTACTCCCACTAGTGATGTCTTAATTCCTGGTAGATGCTGTGGCCTGCCTGTCTGCAACGTGCTTGAATGGAGAGTGTCATCCTACACCAAGAGGTCCTGTGTGCCTGTGCCCAGATGGAATGCACCTGAGCAAGAATGGCTCTGCTTGCATGTCGCACCATCTTTGTGATGAATGGGGCACGTGTTCCCAAAAATGTAGAACCTTCAGATCCAAATATATATGTGAATGTTTTGAGGGGTATAAACTGGACAGGGACAGGTTCACTTGCAAAAGCACCAGTGAGTGGCCTTGATTCTAGTATCTGAAGTGCTTTATTTCACTGGTATAATTGGTGTTCTTCTTTGCAGGTGTAGTTGCTCCACTACTCATCATTAGCAATCAGCAGCAGCTGCATAGCATCAACTTGAACACTCTTTCTGTGAAAACACTTGTATCCAACCTGAAGAATTCCATTGCTGTTGATTTCTTCTTCTCAGAGGAAAAAAGCATGATTTTCTGGACTGATGTAGGGGATGATAAAATTCAGAGGGGCATCCTCAATGGTGGAAGTGAGTTGAAACTTTATGGAATATCTTTTTTTCAATGGTTCTCACCCGAATGCAATAAGGAGTCAGGAATGTGTTAAGGTGCTGTTACAGGCATTTGTTAGTAACAGTAACAGGCATTACTGCTCTGAATGATGTCGTTTTCCGTCAGACACCAGAGGACGTTGGGTCTACAATTGTTCTAAATTACATCCCACTAAAGTCTGTCTCATCTAAGACCATTACGTGGAGTCCCTTAGAAGAAGAGGTGTACAAACTGATATGAAAGTAAAAATGATAAATTGATCTTGTGGCACACTCTGAGTTTCTTAAAAATTCCCTAGAGTGCTGCATGGCAGTGCTAGAGGAGGATGATGCTGAGCAGAAATTTTCTGATGCAGACTTGACATTGTCCTTGGTCCACGACTTGTACTGCATAGGAAGAAAGGATAACTTCTTGTATATTTCTTCCATGCAAAGGTCAAATCCCATAGTTCATCTGAGCTTTACTGACTGCACACCTGTTGGGAAACACTGGTCTGGCTTTTAAAATCTTCAGCAGTATATAAGTTGTAAATGATTGGCAGAGGAGTCATTCTTTTCCCGTATGTTACTCCAGCAGATCCCCTCCCCTCAATCTCCTCTTTCACCTAGATTATGCCATGTCTCAGTTGCCAGGAGATATGCAAAAACCATAATTGGTTATTCAGAGTGTTGGATGTGACATTCGAAGTAATATGTTTGGTACAAAAAATACATCTAACAATATTAAGAATGACAAGTCAATTTATAGATTTGCAACATTTAACCTTAGGCAGTGACTGAAAATTCTATTGGCTAGAGTCCTGCATACTCTCTTTTGTTAGAGGTGAATCAGTATGTGAAGGAGAGTGTCAAATGTAACATTTCATAAAACTTAAGGTTAAAGTCACTTACTCCAGTGGTAGATGTAACAGTACCAGTGGTATTGGTAGATGGTAGTTTTCTGTGATGTAACAGAACCCATCAATTTAGTATTGTGTTCATTCCATAGATGAAACAATAGCTTTTAATGAGTGTAAGTCACCCTTTGAATACAGAACAGGGAAAATAAAGGAAGGCAATTTTGTAACTATGATGGATGTGATAGGAAAGTGTGCAATGTCACATGTCCTGCAAGTTTATTTAAAAATGAAAAGTCTGGACATTTCTTTTAAACGTTCAGCTTAGAGTATCATTCAGATGTGAAAGATTGGCATCTTCTATTCACACCTGAGCAGATTTGAGATTGTCACTCAACATAAGAGAATCTACTCTGCCATGTACTCCAGTATTCAGTCTCTTTGGTCTATTCATTCTCCCAGTCTGCTTTTCCATCTTATCAGTTAGTATCACATGAGTGGTACTAATAATATATGATAAAAATGGCTTTATTTCCCTTTTAAAAATAATTTTTCTCATTCATTAAACGGAAGTCCCTGGACTCTAAAACTTGAAAACTAATCTTACGTTACAGATGTTTTATTCACTTTAAGGTACAATTCTAAGATACCTGGTGAACCGTTCCTGTCTGGTATACCAATACGTTTTCGATCTTTAATACTTATTGTTTGAATTTTTCAGAACTGGAACACCAACCTAAGGCTTGCACCAAAACAACTTATTGTTAGAAATGTACAAATCTTTTCTAGCTGCATGATATTTGCTATAAAATTCATGTGATTTGCCTCAGAGTCCAATATCTCAGGTATTTTACCTTGGTTTATTATTTAACCCTATGTCAGACTCAGTCCAACATCCTGCTGGATACAATTGGTGATCACATGGATTTTATTATGTAATATTTGCTATGCTAGATGCTATGTGATAATGGGCACAGCAGAAGCAGAACACGTCATCACTGACTGTCCAGCATGCTAGACAGGCTGCAGCAAAGGATGAAGGGGACCACCAACTTCCCAAGACAGTTAAAGAGGAAAAGTTAAAATTATCATGCTATCCTACATCATCTCTTAACCCTCCTTTGCTATCAGCTTGAAACAAGCATGAAGGCTGCCTGGGATCTCTTTTGACCTCATTCTGTTTCTGTATACATTTGACTAGATTCATGACAACAATGAGTCAGGTAAGGATTATCATTTATGGGCAGTATACAAATAAAAAATATCTCAGTGAACCATGAAACAGTTACACAAGAAAAATTAATAGGAGGGAAACTTCTTTTAATGTTTTCATCCTTTCGGGTCGAAGAAGACCCCAGACAGCAAGGGAGGGTTAATGGAGTTCCATTCTATAATGGAATTATATTATTCAGAAGTGATTAACTAGATGAGAAAATCCTGAGTTGAATTCCTGGGAAATGATGAGTTGCAGAACATTTAAACAAGTAAATTTTAACCCAGTGGGAATTCTTTTTCTTCTTATAAAAGATAATAGGTGACTCTTAATAATTGTATGTTACCAACTGTTTTAGGTAGAAAACTAAGTCTTTTCTCATTATAAAGCTTTTAGGTATACAAGGGTCAGTCAAATGAAAATGAGAAAATTGTGATATAAAATAATTCCCTATTGATGGATGTCCAATACCTTCAGTGTATGTTTGCAGAGATTGCATGAATATCTGTCATAGCTGGCAACACCATGTGATCAGAAAGAACAGCACTATCACTTGGGCAACATGGCGCTCACAGTGCCTTTTGTGTTGCCCATCGAAATCCATTCCCAAATGAGTGCTGTTGACACCAACATCTTTTTACTGTGGTGGCACACATACAAGTGGTTCAAACGTTTCCAAAATGAGTGTGAACATTTGAAGGATGACTAACCCCCAGGTCAGGTTAATGATGTCGCAACAGAAATAATCACAAAGATGGACAAGCTCATATGAAGCAACATAAATGTTTCACTGGATGAATTGACTGCAGATTTGGGAATCAGTCACAGCTCTATTCACCCCATAATCTGTGTCCAGCATACTGTATCCTCTATGCATAGGTGAAGAAGTGTAGGAGGCTGTCATGTGGTGGTTCAAATAGCAACCATATAAATCTTATGAGGCTGGTATAAATAATATTGCGAAGTTAGAATCTGTGCCTCTACATTGGTGGGGAAATATTTGATAAATAATGCACTCACTGCAAGAAAAAGAAACCTATCCTTTTCATTTGACTGACCTATGTAGTTCCACACTGTATATAAGACTTGGGGGTTTATCTATAAGTTCATTAGACCTTCTGCAATTTTAACATTTCTTTTGGCAACTCATTGAAGGTCGAAACTCCCAAACTGGAAGAAAGCACAGAAAAGGTTCCTAAATCCTTAGTCATTGGCAATTATGATATGTTCAGCTTTGAGGTATTGACAATGGGTTGTTAAATACATTTAAAAAATTTTTTATTATCAATTACAGCATATTTAAGTCTTTGCCACATTTGCTCATGTTATTTAAGCAATGGCATGCAATGCATTCAATTCTTTCATAGCAATAACCAAGATAGAGGTGGTTGTACAAGCGGGTCTGCTGAGAGCTGAAGGATTAGCAGTTGATTGGATTGGAGAGAATCTTTATTGGGTGGAGAGTGACTTAGACCAGATTGAAGTGTCCAAGCTGGATGGTAGTTTTCGCAGGACCCTGATTGCTGGCAATATGGAGTCTCCTCGAGGTATAGCAATGGATCCACGCAAAGGGTATGTATAGGCTTCCTACTTTTTTTGCTTTTGATCAGATTGTAGCCATGCCTTATGATCATAAAAATCACAAGGTGTGTTCTGATTCAAGCATTATTTGAAGCATAACATCAAAAACATGCAACATGGAGTAGCTCAGTGAATTGTCATTGATCTCTTTTGTTTCTCTTGATCAAGACAATTGAAATAGTCCTATGTGAACTGTTAGTGATTTATAAGAAGATAAGACTCCTTTTTATTCTTCAGTATGAGATTTGGTCTGTGGATTGTGTTATCTATGTATATTTATATTCAGGATGGCTTTCATACATTGAACAGGGTCATGTTTTGGACTGACTGGGAAAAAGGAGTACCTCGTATTGAGTCTTGCAGCATGGCTGGTGAGCCTGAAACTCGTCAAATAGTAGTCAATGTCACTGAACTTGATTTGAATGGTGCCTGGCCCAATGGACTGACTCTTGACTATGTGGCTGAGCGCATCTACTGGATTGATGCAAAGTAAGAACCACGCCTATGACCTCTGAAGATACCATTGTATTGAAGCTCATTCAAGAAATTGTCATATTCAACAGCTCATGATATCCCTGGATTTTCCTTCATGATCAATTTCAAACTTTCTATACTTGCTATTGCCTACAGAAGGCTTATATTGTCAGTATACACACAGACTTCAATTAAAAAGCTAGCTGTATTATTTCTTAAAATGAGACAAGTAATGTATTTGCAGTACTAATTATTGCCTCATTCTATGTTAGTGCAGATATGCTTAACCTTTATCAAATGGAATTTAAATGCCTGTGTTGCTTCATGGCTGGTATTTAGATGTGAAGTGCAACATACAAACCAGAAACAGCATACAAAAAAGGGTTGTCCAAGAGCAGCCACTTTAGTGACCATCAGGCAGTCTGACAATACATTTAGCAGTAAATATACTTACCTTTCGGCCTAGAAAGGTTAATAGACAATTAGACAAATCACCAAGAATCTGTAATGTATAAAACTGATGAATGAGGTTTTCATATCCACATGGAAGTTAAAGGTCAGTTCAAGAATAATATATTGCAATAAGTGTGACTCATCATATTCATTAATTTTCTGCTTATTTCTCTCTTCATCCTCTCTTGAAGTTCTTCATATGGGTTAGTAAAATTTTTATGAATTAAAGTTACAGACAGTGAGATGGAAAGAGTGAGCTCAAGGTGGGAATGGAATATTGCCATTATGCCTCCTTTATTCTGAAGTTGAGTGAAGTCAAGTACTGAACTACTAACACCCTAGCAGGTTTCACTAAAAAAAAAAAAGAAACCTCTTCTTATTGTCTATCATTCTTGGCATGATTCAAGAAGATAAAGATGGGGTTCAGCTTATTTGCATCAGTTTCATGATCATGCAATAAGGTATATTTCCATATATTATGACTAATACAAATTCTGTGAAGCATTGACAAGAAGCATTGACAGTTGGCTATATTTGAAACCAAGGGTTTTATGGGGTTTGAGCAAGTCCTTAGCCTTGCATAACATGAGAAAGTTTTGAGAGATAATGGCTGTAATGTTGAACCACATTGGAGGATTCATGTTTTGTTTGTCTTGCTTTCTCTGTTTTAGGACTGACAACATATATACCTGCAAGTATGATGGTAGTGATCATCGTGTGATTCTGAAGGATCATCATGCCATTCAGCATCCATTTGCCATGGCTCTTTATGAGAATAATATCTATTGGACTGATTGGAGGACAAACTCTGTAAACAAAGTCAATAAATGGACTGGAAACAATGCAACCATATTTCATGAATTCATATCCCAGCTGTTTGGTCTCACTGTCATGCATCCCAGTAGGCAGCCAAGAGGTAATCAATGTGCTTGTTCTTTAGACTTGACATTGTCTAGTTTCAAATTGAGATGGTATGAATGATTGTGGTGATCTTGTCATTCTCTATTATGATGTTTCATGCCAGTAATCTGATACATCTTGCTTATTCCTCTTCTTTGAGGTAATCAACACGTAGCATTGGGATACTATATCTTGGCATTCACATGTATAGCTAATCCTTCATTTTGTTCCATTTCAGGTGGACCAAATCCATGCAAGTCAAATGCTACTAGGTGCTCACATCTATGTCTCCTGAGCATGAAGAGTGGCTTCAAGTGCCATTGTCCCCATCTGATGAGATTAGTACCTGAGAATATGACCTGCATCAGTGAGTTCCTTCAATGATGTTCAAAGCTCTGGTTGAGAGGTACTGCAAAAATTATTATCATTATGACACTTTGAATATACAGGGTGTCCCATTTATCACGGACGATTTTAATCACGTATAAAATTCTTCCTACTTGAGCAAACTAAACAAAATTTTCCCAATATTTAGATGTCTGTTTAGCATTTATTGTGACAAAGTTTCAGCCAAAACAAATTCACCAATTACAAGCTATGAACTTCAATATGACCCCTGTCAATTTCAAGCACTTTTTCCAATTGTGCCTGGTATTCAAGCAGCGTTTTCTGAAATGTTCAGTAAGGTTAAAGAAAAATACAGTAAATTTATGCACTGGGCGATGGAAGAAATTCCCTAAGTTTGCCACCCAGCCGAGGAAACTGTTAACAATCATGGGAGAAATTTCCCTTCAAGCTATTTGGCAACACTGCAGGAACAAGAGTCACTGAGGCTACATGACTGACATGTGCTAACATGGAGGATTTAACTTCTCTTCTTCTGAGGTGGATTTTCCATCCACAAAATATCTAAAATAATTTTGGCAGGCACATATCAAAATATTACATTGTTATCCTTGTTACAGCTATATTTTCCTTTTAAGGTGGTAGGGGAGGAAAAATAGACCTTCTGGGATTCAAAATCTGAAAAGTAATTGTTGTAGGGGGTCCCTAGGGAAGTGCAAAGAGGGGTCGCACAGTCACCTCCGACCCATAGTTTGGCCAAAAGTCTCACTGCCAAAGTTGCCGCTAGATGGC